ACCTATCAATCTGCTCAACATCATGGCTTGCCTCAATGGTTAATACAACACTAACAGATCAATTTCACCAATCTTGGCTCTCAGAAATTGATGCAAGTTCAAAAGGCGTATACTACAGACTTTGATTTTGAAAACAACCTCTACCTTCCTGAATCAATTTATATACCAATTCTACGCTTCAGACTAAATAATCATAAGATGCCGATAGAGACAGGCCGATATCTAGCAATTCCAAGGGAAGAACGTGTTTGTCAGTTGTGTAACTCACCTGCTGTTGGTGACGAGTTTCACTACTCACTGAAGTGCGAGGCTCTTAACCAACAGAGGGTGCAGCTGACTAATAGGTATTATTATGTCTGGCCAAATTTGATAGAATTTAAAAGACTATTGCTGACAAAAAACCTTAGAGATGTGAGAAACCTATCCAAATTTATAAACGTTATCTTAAAAAGTTGCTTATTATGTCCATCAAGACTTTTCGTTTAATATATCATCATCATGTATATGTACAGTTTTTATATACTCTATATCAATAAGGGACTAATATACTTGTACACAAATATCAATGCATGATGGTGATATTGCTGGAATATTGCTAAAAGCGGAGTAAAACCAAACTCACTCTCTCACAATTATCTGATGGAACTGTTGCCACTCGAGCACCCATCACAAATACAGACTGGCAGCTGTAATCATCTCAGATTAACCCATTCATCATTAGCGTTGAATATCTCGATGTGAGAAGCCCATTTCTGTTGGAATATTGCTAAAAGCTGCGTAGAACCATACTCACTCACTCACTCACTCACTCACTACTATTAAACTAAATCCTATACGTGTACGAATGTTATATCATGAGTACAGATTCATGTATATGTTACATGGACAAGTACGTATGACACGTCGATAAACAGTCTACTACTAAACCACTACCCTTGGTACTTTTACTACTAAACCACTACCCTTGGTACTTCTACTACTAAACCACTACCCTTGGTACTTCTACTACTAAACCACTACCCTTGGTACTTCTACTACTAAACCACTACCCTTGGTACTTCTACTACTAAACCACTACCCTTGGTACTTCTACTACTAAACCACTACCCTTGGTACTTCTACTACTAAACCACTACCCTTGGTACTTGTACTACTAAACCACTACCCCTGGTTCTTCTACCAAGAAACACAGCATCTTCATGATTTGTTCATTCGGGAGTCTTTGATAGGGGTGACTGTTATCAGTACTGCCCCGCTTAAAGGGGTTTCAGTTTCGGACAACATTTCAATAAGGTGATCGAAGATTCCATACATTACTATCACCACAAGTAAGCATTTACACGTGACCAGGACGAGCGACGGTCTAGTTTGCTGACAACGATATTTTGGCGTCATGCTGTGTGGGTAATTACTGATGTCTGTCTACCGGTGAGTGATTAGGAAAGAGATTTGTGTAGTGGTTTTGTGTTCGTATAGAGTATGTTTCTTGGTTAATGTACAACTCAGCAATATTCCAGCCATTTGACAGCAGTCTGAGAAAGAATCGACTTAGCACTAGACTGACTGACTGAGTTTGGTTTTACGCCGCTTTTAGCAATATTCCAGCAACATCACCAGAAATGGGCTTCGCACATTGTACCCATGTGGGAATCGAACCCGGGTCTTCGGCGTGACGACCCAACGCTTTAACCATTAGGCTACCCCACCGCCCTTAGCACTAGACAACCCTGTGGTTGACATCGTGAGTGAGTTACAGTACAACCAGAAATTATTGAGAATTTAAAGATTGTAATTTTTTTTTATTATATTCACTCATTACTCACGTATTAAATGTGAATATTAGCAGAACATAACTCCAGATTGAAAGACAGGTGAACAGTTAGTATTTTGTCAAGTCACCATGGGCAGCAATGCAGGCTTCAATGCGGCGGGGCATACTACTGATCAAAGAAGTTAGAAAGTCGAGGTCCATGCTGTCCCAATATCGGACCACCTCTTCTTTCATATTTCAGCAATATTTGACAGATTTTTCTTCTTGACACTTTCATTCATAAGTCCCCAAACATTTTCTATAGGATTTAGGTCAGGGCTATAGCTTGGCCAATCTAATAATGTCATATGTTGGGTCCGAAACCAGGCCTGTGTATGCTTTGAACGATGTTTTGGGTCGTTGTAATGCTGGAAAATCCACAAATTTCCATAGAACACGTGAGCAGATGGAAGTAAATGTCCCTCGAGAATATCTGTGTACCGTTCACTGTTCACATTCCCTTCAAATACACAGAGGGGCGTTGCCCCTAACACAGATATGCCACCCCACACGTTAAATTTCGGACTGTACTTTGGGCGCTGATACAAAGGTTTTACAGTTTGTTTGGTCCAGAATTTCAGTGTATTAGGAAACAGCCACACAGAACTTTCATCTGAGAAAATCACATTGTCCCAGTTAAAATGTCTATGCTGTAAGCACCAGTTTAACCTTCACTCCTTTTGTTCAGGTTTCATGATCGGTGATGGAATTCCTCGACTTTTCTGCCTACCCTTTGTATGCAGCTCAGTTCTAATTGTCTCCTTACAGAGAGCCACAGTTCCTCTATCAATCATATCCAGCCTTAAGTTTTCTAAACTCCTTCGTTTGTTTTTAGAAACAAATATACCAAGCCGCCTCCTCTCACTGACAGTTAATTTTCGAGGTCTACCTGCGCTTCCCTGGTGCTCAATGCCATATCCATTTGCAATATTTTTCAAAACACAATAAACAGTGGACAAAGGGATGCCTGTTCTACTTGAAATCACTTTAGCTGATCTGATGTCCTTGTTATAATACTCTAAAATCAACTTCCTCTTCTCTTAATCATCCATACTGAGGATCACTGAAAATGTCGTCTGCTAGCAAGTACACAAAGGGAATAACTCTTCACAAACTAATGAAAAGGATTAGCGGAGTTGTCTCTCTTGAATGAAAGCAAGCACTCGATAGCTGGTCAAGGTTATTTATACTAGAACTCCAATTAAAAAATATTTCTAAAATTCTCAATAATTTCTGGTCATACTATAGTTAGTATGGTTTTATAGCACTATTTCCTCAACATCACGGCGGTAAGAAGCTTGCCACATCGTACCCATGTGTGGAATCGAACCGAGGTTCATCGTGACCAGCGGACACTTTTACCTTCAGGCTACCTCGCCCTTGACACCAAGAGCATCGATAAACGTAAATGACATACGATTACACGCGTACGCAAGGAGACAATTGCAAGTCTGCGAGCCTAACCACTGGATCCATTTAGTAGTCTTTCATAAGAATACGTTGCTGGGTACCTCAATCACTCCAACTACCACCACGGGTATATATACGCACCACCACGGGTATATATACGCTGAGGGGGGTGGGGTGGGGAGCAGTGGGGTAGCCTAGTGGTTCAAGCGTTGGCTCGTCACGCCGAAGACCCGGGTTCGATTCCCCACATGGGCACAATGTGTGAAGCCCATTTCTGGTGTCCCCGCCGTGATGTTGCTGGAATATTGCTGAAAGCGGCGTAAAACCAAACTCAGTCAGTCAGTCTGTCAGTCAGTATACGCTGAGGGAAAACATGAGTATGTCAGTGAGTGAGTGACTAATCGGGGTTTATGACAACTTTGAACATTATTCCTGTTATGTCACAACCTGCCTGCTTGACGTGGTTGGAATACCCACACACCATGCACACCATACACTAGTATCCTGCCGAGATGCTGCTCTATACTGATACTTGTCGCTGTTTCTCCAGATTTCGCCCATGGCTGACGGTCGTGGAACACATGGTTCATTATATTCAAACGCAAGGAAGTAACATTATAATAACTGTCCATGTATCCATTGGTATCATTTAAGTACAATACCAAAAAACTGACGAGCAAAAGAAAGTACACAGGCGTAATTGTTGCTGCAATTCCAAATTTGCGTTCTAACTAGTAAAATTATTGAAGACCACTGATTGTATAGAAAGCAACCATCATGTTTCATTTGCCAAAATGCAACCAAAAACATTTGTACGTGTTTTGCACGAATTTTCGCAAAATTGTGATTATTGTTCCATGCACGAACACTTTTCTTACAGAGGGTTTTATAACCTGTTTGTCGTGAAGACTGAACAATCACTTGACAAAAATCTCACGAGAAAATGCCAAGATTGACGTTGGCGTAACGAGAACGGGCCACAGGAATGTCGCAAATTGGTGCTTCCAATAGCCATATTGCAAGGACATTGGGTTGCACAGGACAAGCCATAATTCGGCTGTTTAACCGTTTCAATATGACAGGCCAGACATGTGATCGACTCAGAGGTGGACGTCCCAGAGTCACAACACCCCAAGAGGATCGCTATCTGTGGGTTATTTACCTACGTAACCGGATGTTGACGGTGACGTCGTCAGCAGACGCATCATTGGGTCATCGCGTGAGCCGATTCATAGTGACAAGACGACTTCGTGCTGCTGGCATACGGGCCTACCGACCGTTGCGTGGAATGGCCTTGACCTTCCAGCAAGACGTAGGAACCGTCTGCAGTGGTCATCACTACATCGCTGTTTATTGTTACAATGTCATTTTGCTGATAAAACACGTGTATTGTAGTGCGCTTCAGCATAATTTTCCATTTCATCAATAGGTTTCGTTAGATTTATATTATTGAAGAAACACAACCTGTGGACTTTCTTTTGCTTGTCAGTTTATTATAGGAATTACTTTTCAATCCAATACATTCTTCTTTAAATTCACCCAGAAATCAATTGAACAGTATTTCTGTCTTGAGGAATAGTATTCCTATCACAAACTGCAACTGACTGCATTATCGGTGACAATGGAACATATTTCAAGATATCCGTAGTATGGACGAAGGACCGAGAACAGGCCATGACACCCAACACTAGTATTAATACATACTAATCCTGGGTGATCTACTGTGAGAATAGATTTAATGAGGTAATTATGAAACTGTTTAAAGAGCCATATTACTTACTGGTCTTTCTTCCCACTGGTATTTGAAGAGGTGGACTTCGGCCTTTCGTCTATGGTCGACAGGGAGAGGTTACTTCTTGTTGTCCGACGACTCGACATGGTCTTGATGAAATTATTTCAGAACCCTTCACAGTTAATTAACGTTACCATCCAGTTCCTCTCTTACGAGGTATCCATGTTTACCTGAAGTCTCTACCACGCACATATGACAAGGATTTTGAATGTTATCACATAAATGACCCCAGTCAAGTATCCGCTATTACGGAAAGAAAATTACTTCATTGTAATTTCAGCTTCTCGGTATGGATCAACAGGCGTAATATTGGAACGAAGAATACCATTCCTGTGCTCACTGCTTTAGTCAAGTGGTCCGACGTAGCAACGCAGGTGAGTGATCTCCATACAGGGCCCTATAACACGTGCCCCGTATGAACAACCGTCAAGTGATATCCAACAGTCAATGCAAGATTAATTATTCCCTTGTCAACTCCTATGAAATACCCTAGGAAGGCAGATGTAGGCTCACCCCTAGCAATGTATATAGTCATTGTAATAGAACCGATTCAAGAAGGCTGCTTTCAGACCTGTATATGTATCTGTTAGTCGTGTGTTGGTGTGTTGTCGACACTGTAGTATTTCACGTCGATCAATCAAAAACATTGTCAATAACACTGACTTGAATACTATGACTGTCTTACACAAGGGAATGGAATTGATCTTTGGCGTATATATGGATTAGAGATACTCTTAATCGCCTCGGAACTCTTTCCTAGGTCAGCTAATGGCCGCTGCATACGGGCTTTGGCTTAATCACCCGGATATTCAAAATGGCGAGCTACCAATGCGTTCTATGGCATACCTTGCTCATTAAGACTATAACGACATCAAATCCGTGAGGTAAATCCCGTGGGAATTTCGGAAAAATGGGGCGGGTAATCGAGACGGCTTTGATCTGCCAGGTGAATTTGATGAAGAACGTCAAGGAGGGGACTGGCCTTTCTAAGCCAAGTCAAGTAATTACTTGAAAGACAAAGCGGTCTGGTCTGTAGGCATTAGTAGCTGACATTAAGTAGACATATTAGGTACACGTTCAGAAATACCTTCAATGTTAACGGAATTCTCTTCTCTCGTAACGCATAAGGAGGCAGAGGTGAGGTGAGGTGAAATTGGGTTTAACGTCGTGCTTGAGAATATTTCGCTCATATGACGACGTGCATGCGTGTGTATGTGTAGGTGCGGCTGCTTGTACTAGCCCAGACTTAAGCTGGTTTTATAGTGCTAGCCCACTGAGATACCATGCCGCAGTGAAGCATGGCGCGGTGGGCGAACTGGCTAAAGCGCCAGGCTAGTGATCCAGCGAGCTTGAGGTGACGGGATCGAGCCCACCTGTGACCGGGTGTAAAAACCTTGGAGTCAACTTTGTGTGCAGACTCTTTCAGTGTTGTCACAACCCCTAGTGTACAGTACACAACCCTGTGCACTTAAAAGAACCCACGAATCCGTTGGTATATGACCAGATGGTGGCCACATGAATACGTGCAAACACCAAGTTGCGGGTACAGCAACGTGCAGTAAACTTGGACAAAGTACTGTGACTATGTGTCCCAGTCCACCCAGCTGTGAATGGGTACCTCGTAAGGTTGGAATGCCCTATTAACTCGGTGCGCCTAGTGGCTGCAAGAGTTGTATGCTCCCCAGGGAGTTGAGATTGACAATACGATGTGCCGTTGAGATTGACATCCAGTGAACGAGGGAAAAACAAAGCGCCTTTGAACAGCTGAGCTGGATATCGGCGCTATACAAATGTTAGTATGTATGTATGTATGAATACCCCACTCAGACACATTATACTGACTCCGAGCCGACCAGTCCTTGATGAACCCATTAATGCCGAGCGCCAGACAGGGACCAACAAGTACCATATGTTAACGTCTTTGGTATGACGCGATCGGGGATCGAACCCGCGACCTTCCGCTCTCCGGGCGGACGCTCTAACCACTACACCACGGAGGGGGTCAGGAGGCAGAGTGGCCTAGTAGTCAGCGTTCGGTTGTAACGCCTAAGGCCCACGTTCGATTCCCTACATGATTCAATGAGTAAAGCTCAGTTATGGTTCAAATGGGAATTCGTCGAAAACTCAACCTCTAAAATTCTTGAAAAAGTAATTTAAAATGTTCAAATATATGCCACAATATGTTGTTGCTACATATGTTTCAAAAAGAAATATATAACCTCTCGGGTTTAAGTGAAAATGTGTTCTGCAGATCTTGCTAAACAAAAATATCTGGTATAGATACGAAATCTCCCTTCAATTCGAGGCACATGCACGTTTAACTCAACAGACAATTGCCCCCATTCCCTTCGCCCATCCCCCTGGAATATCAAGTGGCTCTAGTGAGTGAGTTTGGTTTTACGTCGCTTTTAGCAATAATCCAGCAATATCACGGCGAGGGAACACCAGAAATGATCTTCACACAGTGTACCTTTGTGGGGAATCGAACCCTAAACTATTCGACCGATTTTCATGAAATTTTGCATGCATCTCAGCAGTTATTTACACTATAGCAGAGCGGAATTTAGAACACTCTCGATGACTTCATTAGATGAATTAAGACTTAATTACAACAATACATTGGACATTTAGCCTTTTTCCAGACGGACCCCATGCTCACTAAAAAGGCAATATTTCAGAAACTTTTGCACCGATTTTCGTGAAATTTGGAATGTACCTCCACCAGTAGTATACACAATAGCAGAACTGGATTAGGGACTTCCCAAGGTCCTTAGGAAGGACCTGGTCCCGTTCCGCTATTGTGTATACTACTGAAGTCCTAGAAGCTCTCAGGAGTCAAGCTGTCAAACACGGTCACCTATCCAAGGACTGTCCGAGCTCGCCGTTGCTTAACTTCAACTGATTCGTGACCTGCGCTCTGTGCACAGGACCACATGCCACCACAAATGATGCGGTTGAGGGACTGTGGGCAGACTAGAAGTAATCGTACAGTATCAAAATATTGCCAGTCCTGGTGAGAAGTGTTCTGTATTGAGACTGATTAACGTATGTTCAGATAACGCCATAATGCCTGGCGCTCGGCATTAATGGGTACATCAGTATCAGGCAAATACGCCTCTGCGCTTGTGCAGGTACTACACCATTCTCATCTGACGTTTGAAAGACGCTGTGGCCAATAACAAAGTGAGAGACATCTGTTGTGTGATGACCAGAAACATTGATTTCTGACACTGTAATTGTTGAGAACGTACGACCGTGTGATTGTACTAGTGCTTCAATCACCTTGTTTGAAACTGCTGACTGACTGAGTTTATTTTACGTCGCTTTTAGCAATATTCCAGCAATATCACGGCGGGGAACACCAGAAATGATCTTAACACAGTGTACCCCATGTGGGGAATCGAACCCTAAACTATTCGACCGATTTTCATGAAATTTTGCATGCATCTCAGCAGTTATTTACACTATAGCAGAGCGGAATTTAGAACACTCTCGATGACTTCATTAGATGAATTAAGACTTAATTACAACAATACATTGGACATTTAGCCTTTTTTCCAGACGGACCCCATGCTCACTAAAAAGGCAATATTTCAGAAACTTTGCACCGATTTTCGTGAAATTTGGAATGTACCTCCACCAGTAGTATACACAATAGCAGAACTGGATTAGGGACTTCCCAAGGTCCTTAGGAAGGACCTGGTCCCGTTCCGCTATTGTGTATACTACTGAAGTCCTAGAAGCTCTCAGGAGTCAAGCTGTCAAACACGGTCACCTATCCAAGGACTGTCCGAGCTCGCCGTTGCTTAACTTCAACTGATTCGTGACCTGCGCTCTGTGCACAGGACCACATGCCACCACAAATGATGCGGTTGAGGGACTGTGGGCAGACTAGAAGTAATCGTACAGTATCAAAATATTGCCAGTCCTGGTGAGAAGTGTTCTGTATTGAGACTGATTAACGTATGTTCAGATAACGCCATAATGCCTGGCGCTCGGCATTAATGGGTACATCAGTATCAGGCAAATACGCCTCTGCGCTTGTGCAGGTACTACACCATTCTCATCTGACGTTTGAAAGACGCTGTAGCCAATAACAAAGTGAGAGACATCTGTTGTGTGATGACCAGAAACATTGATTTCTGACACTGTAATTGTTGAGAACGTACGACCGTGTGATTGTACTAGTGCTTCAATCACCTTGTTTGAAACTGCTGACTGACTGAGTTTATTTTTACGCCGCTTTTAGCAATATTCCAGCAATATCACGGCGGGGGACACCAGAAATGGGCTTAACACATTGTGCCCATGTGGGGAATCGAACCCGGGTCTTCGGCGTGACGAGCCAACGCTTTAACCACTAGGCTACCCCATCGCCCGCTGAAACTGCTGAAGGTTGTCTTGTCTTTGGTTTGCTTACCTGAATTTGTTTGTTTACGTCACGAGTGCCTTGTCCTTTCTGATCTACAGGACACTTCCTTGAAATACACGTGCAGAGCATATCTTTGTGAAATGTATTCTTAGTCTGTCTGCATTTTGGGCATTGGGATTTTGTATTCAAGGACAAAATCTCGAAGACAAGAGTGACTCAGTAACCTGGTGGAAAAGCACTCCATTTATATGATGTCAGGTAAGCTTACTATGAAAGGAAAGCTTGCGTTGGTATAGATTTCACTTTCGTGAAACTGTTGAGCACTGGTGTGATGCGGACAAACATGAAATAGGGATCGTTTATGGTGTATCCAAGGGAAGCAGCTCTGCACAGCGAATTGCGGTGCCTTTGGCGAGTGGGCTATTTCGTGTCCTCTCACCAGGGAGGAGCAATTATCTTTTTATCAATAAAATCAGCTTTGGGGCCTGTGTCGGGGGACCTGAGTCAAAGACTGTTGTCTTATCATTGAGAAAAACTTTAACGTCAATGAAATAGTAAAGGAACTCTTTGCATTGCATACTATCATGTACATATGTGAGTGAGTGAGTGAGTTTAGTTTTACGCCGCACTCAGCAATATTCCAGCTATATGGCGGCGGTCTGTAAATAATCGAGTCTGGACCAGACAATCCAGTGATCAACAGCATGAGAATCGATCTGCGCAATTGGGAACCGATGACATGTGTCAAACAAGTCAGCGAGCCTGACCACCCAATCCCGTTAG